TTTGCCCTCTGAGTATCGTCAAAACGATGGTACAAAGGATCCTTATCGAAGGAACTTAATATATCATTGGTAATCACTTTATTGTATAACCATAAATTTACCAATAGACAAATCAGAAAACAGTAATCGATTAGTTGAATGCATCCATCACTACACTCTACCAGTCAGCGTCAAGATCTCATCATCCATTGAGTGGAAAACATGCCATTTGTCTCTTCTTCCAGTGTAGGTACATATCTCAAACGGCCAGTGGCTCTGGAGAAGTGAAAGGATCATTCATTTAAAATCACAACGTCACGATGCACATACGCGTGGGCTCTTTCCCCATGTCATCCATTCAAGCAGTCCGTCGAGCTATCTCATTATGTCATAAGCTCACACCCTGCGCGTTTGGTTTTGGTGGGTGCTTCCGTGCCGTCACGTCAGTTGGTAGCGATGGGCTGCTCTTCTACGCTCAGATTGCAATCGTGTCCCCTTGATGTACGTCCTTCAACGACCAACCAACGGCAACAAACGGTTTGAAGTTTGGCGAGCTTTTGCGTAACAAGTGTCCATCTTCAATTAAGGAAATTTTTATCTTTAAGCGATCCGCGATAAAAGTGCTTTTGGTTTTTATGTATCTTTTGATATTTTATGATTATTGTTTCTACCTAACTGATTACTACATGCCAAATATCTATAATTACTATTACGATGCACTTCAACGAGATCGAAAATGCCTTCTTTCTTCTTCGAGGCTTTTAATGCTTCTGTGGCGAGCGTGTTGCAAGGTCTCAACTTAGTGTTCTAGATGCATTTCCACAGTTATTAATTGAGTGCTTTCTATGCCAATACCAATGCATGAATTTGTAGCAAGCACAATGTTACTCTATGCTCAGGGAAGTCAAGAAAAATTACAGATCAAAATATATCATCGACCTGATTAGGAATTGAACCCGCCGCCATTGGCTTGGTAATGCTGTACCTTTACTGACTAGGTGAATTGAGATTTTGAACCTTTTACCCTTCTTACAAAGAAGGGTATAGATATCACTTGAAAAACCGACTATGGATCCGAGGCCCGGAGGGCCGAATGTCATATACCATTCGACTCAGCTCGACGAGATCGGAACATGTGTGTGTGTGTGTGTATGTGTGTATGTGTGTATGTGAGTGTGTATGTAACGAAATGAATGCGCTCACGTTTCTCAGCAACCGCTCAACCGATTTGGACAAACTCGGCACCAAATGATAGGTCTTGGGGTCTCATTGAACGCTATTGAACGGTTTTGGAATCGGTGAACTGGTTCTGGAGATATGGCCGGAATAAGATCCGGTGAATATGGACCTTCACGCTGGATTTAACGGAAAACGTATCAAAACCATCATGTACCATTCAACTCAGCTCGACGAGATAGGAACATGTCTGTGTGTGTGTGTGTGTGTGTGTGTGTGTGTGTGTGTGTACGTGTGTATGTGTGTATGTGTGTATGTGTGTGTATGTAACGAAATGAATGCGCTCACGTTTCTCAGCAACCGCTCAATCGATTTGGACAAACTCGGCGCCAAATGATAGGTCTTGGGGTACCATTGAACGCTATTGAACGGTTTTGGAATCGGTCAACCGGTTCCGGAGATATGGCCGGAATAAGATCCGGTGAATATGGGCCTTCACGCTGGATTTAACGGAAAACGTATTAAAACCATCATGCGACACATCAAATTACTACGGAATTCAAAAATAAGATCAATGCAAGTCGTGTTAAGTGTTCCAGACCACATTGGACACACTTGGACATGTTCCGGGTACCCCGGGGAAGTTGCTTGAATATGAATTGAATTAAAACCCATTAAATCACATTAAAATACGATGATAAGGTGATTGGAAGCCTCACCAAATAGACTACACCCGGATATATTCCGGGTACCCCCAGGCAGTGGCGTAGCGTCACTGGATGACACGGGGGTGGGGGGCTTGGTCGCTGATAATGACAATAAAATAAATAAACTTGAATAAGTAAGAAGGATCTGATCACACCATAGGTGGATAAATTCGGGTTTTTTTTAAAGTATTTTCTAAATAATTTTAACAGCAACGAATGTTTTTCAAATTTTATATTTTTAAAACAAGTACTGAGGATCCAAGAGTCTATTCGTTAGTAATATGTTAAACGGAAATTAAACATTTGCACTATTTTTTTTTTTAGTTTTGTGACCGAACTTCAGTTTTTTGATTTGGGGTTACTTTGATAAAAAAATTAATGAAACTCAAACAATTTAGTTCTTTAAATATGGAACTTTGAATAAGTATGTAATCAGAAAACATCATAAGCAATAAGAATACAACATTGAATTTGTGATGGCTATAGTGGAGATACATTTCATATGTGATGGTTTGAGTGCTTTTTCAAACAGACGAAAAACACGAAAATTGTTTTTTAATATGTTCCTTAAGTATGTAACACATTCTATATACAAACGATATAAGATATCAACGGAAACACCCTAAACTACAATATGGAACCAATGTTTCTAATTTGGAAAAAGCCCAGCGAGTAAATTTTATCTTTACATTATACTATCAAAATTACCCGCATTATCAAAGATACCCCGTTTTACGGTACTTGTTTTGTTATCAACAGGAAAAATTGATTAACAATTGAGTTTTCAGTGTGCTCTCACTGATAGCAGAAATAATTTTCAATGTGATGTCACAGAAATATTTTGTTGCTATCAATTTTGATATTTTAACCGTTAAAACGACCAAAACGACAGCAACTTGTGTAATCATTATCAGCGAAATCACAATATCAAATTTAGATTTCAATTTGATTTCGGGAGTCTTGCTGAAAAATGCAATCGTTCTTGTCGAAATGCTGTGATGCCCAAGGCGCTACTGAGTTAGTCAGCAGCTTCTGATACACTGCTTGGTTCACGTTTACCCCTTTTCTATAAAGATCATCGGGGTTTTGCCGGTGTGATGACAGCGGAAGTGGAACGGCAGCGGCAACGGAAAAGTCCGATCTTAGTTAGCCTACTTGTCAGATTGAAAACTAGTTAGAACCTGTTAGAACCAAATCGACATCGGTTAGGCTTTTCGATGTCATTTGTGACAACTGTCAAACTTTCCGTTTCCGTTCCGCTTCCGTCCACATTGCGTTTGGGCCTTTATTCCAGCCTAAACCATGACATCATCCCTCCTTGAAATACTTCCTCAATTTTTAGAAGTAACAGGAAGCAACTGTTGATCATTCTGGAGGTAGTGATGCTGCTCGATAGTGAAGATTTTTTCATCGGTAAACAACACTGACTGATGGCAGCCTTCGGACAACCGGTTCAGAAGAACCTTAACTTTTCAGAACCGATTTGTCATTCAAGTAGTGGTTTTTGCATAGTTAATATGATTTAAGCTTCAAGTCATCATGAACTATGGCAGCAGCGGAAGACTTCGACATGTCCAGTGATTTCTTCTATTTTCAGATGGAAATTGTTAAATTTCGCTCGATTCGTCGCCAGATTGTCTCGCGCATTTGTGGAGTCCGAACAGTGCGTTTTTTCCTCTACCGACGCAGTCCTCTAGCGTTGTAAGCTCCTGAAATCGTTTTATTGAGTCACACAGTAGATTTTACCATATTCAGCGTCTTTGCAATCTCTGACATAGTATTTTCTTGACGGAAAAGTTCAACAACAGCTCCACGCGGTACATCAGAAGCGTTAGGTTCCTATAGTTGTGCATGGAGACTCAATACACAACTATAGGAACTTGTGTATGTATATGATCCGTGTGCATCTCAGTATGAGTTGATAGTTCAAATTCCACCGGTTACGATGATTTTTTCGATCATTTCTCATGCGCATTTTCATGTCCTGTTGATCATGTGTATCAGCTGCTCAGTATCTTTTCCCAAAACATTATAAATACCTGTCATTTAAGTGTAGAATCAAATATCAATATAATGTTATCCAAAAAATATACTCATCGCGCATGGTTCCGACCATTTGTTTTAAAAATCTCTTTAAACTTCAATTATTATGAATTGGAATTCACTTGATTTTAACACCAAAACAAAATAAACACTCTCTAAAATGTAACAAACCAACAAATCAGCTTCGTTGCCATTAATGTTGGCAAATACGCTGTGCAAATAAAACTGATTTATTGCTGCATCAACAATACCTTTAAAACGACCCAAACTTGTTTGCAAATATAATTCAATTATCTGTGGCTGCACATTTCTTCTTCATTCACGTGCAAACCCCAATCCAATATGACGTAAAGTTCACATCACGTAACCATCCATCCATCCATCCATCCATCCAACCGGTGAGCCAGCCGAGTTACCTGCATGCCTGCCCCTAGAGCATCATCTCCTCTTCAAGATTGATGGAGTGAGCGAAGTTTGGAATTCACGTCCCGACCCAGCAGCCATCCAGCCCATGGAAGCTGCGAAATAGTTTGCCTTCCCTTTCGTTGTCTTTCTTGGTCTCACCCCAACTCCCATCCCCGTTTCCGTAGAAGCAGCTATTGTAGCTAATCTCAGTTACTGACGAACCGACCAACTAAACCGCACAAAATAATGAGTGCCTCGCCAGAGACCGCGCAACTCTGGCAAGCCTTTGGCAGCAGGGCGTCGTATTTAATGAATAGCAAAGGCAATATTACGCCCTCTTTCTTTCACTGTATTTACATACGTAGGTTGGCAGTCGCCCCTACCATCATCTTTGAATGATTCGAATCGACTTTTCGGGTATTCAGAACCCAATCTACTTAAGTAGGAAAATCTATCAGATGCCACTCAAAAGCTTTCTCGAAGTGAGTTATGCGATAACATTCACCTTTTTCAGCTTGGACCAGCATGCCCTTTTTCCTCATCGTGCTCAGACGTTTCACATAGTCAGCGACCACTCGCAGCAGGCTTTAGGACGCGCGGCAGCAGTGGTTTGTAATTTTCAACTCTGACATTTCCTTTTTTGCCACCTCTTAAGGCTTGACCCGCGAAATCCAAAGTGCCAAAAAACGCATGTCATATACGGAGTTTCAACGACTGGAGACGACCAAATTTTCGATTAGGTCACCGCGAGCACGTATTGCGAAACGCGTCCAGCAGGAGTTAATCCGGGCCAGTGAAAGGAGACGCCGCCCCAGGAAGAAGGTGATCAACCGGTATCTGCTAGGGATGGCGAAGAAGCAAGAGGAGCAGCCATCGACTGGGCACAGGAGACAGCCAAGGGAAGCGATGGTGATGGTGGAAGAGGCCCACAAGTATCTCCCGCAGTGCGACGAACTGATGCAGAATGCCGCGGACTTGTACATTGCGAGGTAATTTCGTAACCGTGTGTATGTTTTGTGATGGCATGTTGATCGGTTACCTACTTTCGCTGTTATGCTGTTGATGGCAGATGAATACCTAGTGTGTTGAATATAGAAAGTGAGTATCTTGCCTTTGGCGCTAGTTTGGTAAAATTCCACTGCGCACTGCCAAAAGTATTTTTTTTTATTATTCGTAGGTTCATTCTTTGGAATCGATCAATAATACAGTACTTTTATGATTTTGACAATTTCTTCCCGATTATGGAAACATCACTTAGAACTACAGTGTACCTCAAAATTGATCGTACAGCTGTACTTAAATTTCGGAAAAACTTGTGCATTTACAAGTTATAAAGATATGTCTCTAAATTTTTGACAGCTGACTCATCATACATTTATCAATTATTGGCTCAGTATTGGGCATATTTGGTTGAGTTTTAAAAAAGTTGGAGCAATTTAAGAAAAACGTCTATTTTTTGAAAAAAACCTTATTTTATTGAAAAAAAAAACAAAATGATCGCAACCTCTTGAAATTTGACCCATTTTTAGTAGTAATAAAGATCATTAATATGCCACTAATTTTATTTTAATTCGTCAACTAGATAAAAAATAAAATATCGAGTGTTTTACTAACACAAATCAAACTTCATACAGGCTCTTTCAATGGAGACCAAAACTATAGAAATAAATCAATAAACAACTGTTCAACCACAAGCCACGATTTTTTAAAAAATATATATCTATTCACCTTCAGGGTGGTCCGCATATTTTTTTAAGAACTTTAAAGAATATTCGAGAAATGAAAGGAAATACTTGGGATTTTGAGAAAATTTCAAGGACAGGCTTTGGGATAGCACATAACATATGTGGAACTCGATCATTAAAAATCGACCCTTTTTCAGTGATTTCAAGTGGTATAGAAGGACATCAATCCGTCAAATTAAATATACCAGCTATAAAATGAGTAAGGGGATCAAGGGGGAAGTAAATTTTATTAAAATAATTCTAACGTGGTCTTCTTAGTACTTCCTTAACCATTTACGTTCTTTATTTATAAAAATATAGCTAGCTTTAAAAAATTTATCGCATTGCTTTACACAGCAAAATATTAACGTTTGCATTAAAAAAGTAGACATTATTTTCCGGTTTTTTATGCGATGACCTGCCACCCAACTATTTACAGCCCAATTTTGATACCGAAACGTATTGTTTTTCTATAATTATTGCCAAAAAAGTGAGGAAGCTCAACGCGTTCATTTCACTATTCTTCATTCTCTAAATTTGCGCGGATTATTTTTTCATTTTTTTTCTCTGTGGTAAACAAAGAATAAAAATGTATTTACTATTTTTTATTTGGACATTTGTTTTGTAACCAATTACATCAATCTTTGATTTTATTAGGTTTCATGTGGGGAAAACGGCAGTGCAGATTTAGAGTTAAATGCATACATTTTGAAGTCCAGAGAGCAGCAACAAAATTTTCGAATTGATTGCATTACATTACATTCAATTAACATAATATCCGTAATGAATCCAATACAATTCAACCAGGTTTAAGAGAGGTAGAAATATTGCATCTGTATACATATTTATTACTGTTCAACAACGCTCTTGATTGACTTCTGATCGACTTGAAAATTCTAGTGAAAATATCCTTTGATAAGCCGCCTGTAGAGCTAGTCGAAAAAAGAATGGCCGCATTATCAAATGAGCTGTAAACAGTAAACTCCGTCAACCCTTTAAACAGCGGAAGAACAAAAGAGTCGATCATTTCTCTGGGCCTCACCTCCTTACACTTATTGCGCATTCCCTTGACAATTGACAATTCGCCTTTTCGTTCACTCTGTAACTCTTTACTTCTATGGTAAAATCCGTAACATCCCATAAGAAATATCAGTCTGTGCGTGAAACATGGTGAACATTTCCTTACCCTTTCACTCCTATGAAAATCCCATAAGATACTGTCAATCTTTCCGCGAAAAGACGGCGGCTTGATGGTACCATGGTGAAATGAAGATATAAGACAAAGCCCGCTAGATTTCAAGCCCACATTGTCAGATGCTTATGGAATTTTTCCATAGGAGTAAAGAGTTGTAGAGTTGCCATCAACATCAATGCTTACTGAGCATGCAACCATATATTTGCTTTTCTTTCATAAGGGCCGATTCCGCAAACGTAAATACTTACTTTTTTGGCGAATTTCTCTAGAATGAAAACTCACTCAAGTAAATCATCACGATGATTGTGTTGAGCGGGAGTCCTCAGTGATTGACTTTGAACTACGAGAAATTTACGAAAGAAGCCATTGCTTACGTTTTTGACATTGGTCTTTATGAACGCTGAGTGTCGATATTTCGAAAAATTTATTTTGACACATCGATGTCCAACTATGCCAGTTATACCACTGAGGCAACACAAAAAAGGGGTCAACTTTTAGTCAGCTATTTGCCATGAAGTTCCACATATGTTATGTGGGGATAGTAAAGTAAAATCTGAGAACTTTTATAAAATTTTGGGAACTTCGGGGAAGCTTTGAGTACTTCAAAGTGGTTCCATCAGCTTCATGAAAACTTTCAGAACTTTTAAGAAGATCTAAGACCGTCTGGGAAGTCAAGAAAAACTTCATAGAAGTCCAAATAACTTGTGTATACTTTATAAAATATTCAAGAACCCCAAACAAGCTTGTTCTTGAGATCTTCAGACAAGCTCATAGATCTTAAGGGCAGATCCAATAACTTCAGGAAAGTTCAGACTTTTGTGATAGCTTAAAGATCAGTAAAGGATAATTGCTATTTATAAATTTCGAGAAACTTAACTCCAGAGAAATTTACAAAAGTTTATACATAGTTTGGACCAGAGCTGGTAAATATCACGGCCGTCATGTGAGAATGAGAAAACAGTTCCTCTCACTATCACGAGACGAAACTACCTATCATTAGCTTTCTTGTCATTTTCCAATGATCCAGTACTCATGAGAATAATTATATTGCGGTTTTAACATCTACATTTCTAACTGATTTAGATTAATTCAAGCAAGTAACCGTATGTAATCGGTAGAGTGAATATATTATTACGATTTTCTCGGTACAAGTAACTTTAAAAGCAATAAATGAGCTAGTAATTACGATGATCACAACACTGTCACGTTTTGTCATGACGAAAAATTCGATGAGATTTTGAAGAAAATCTCAATCATCGTTTTCTCATCCGATGATAGTGACAGAATTATCTCTGTAAATTTCGCGTGAGATTTTTCATTGAATATGACATTTGCCAGCCCTGGTTTGGACACATTAAAGAAGTCTAGAAATATTCAGGGAAGACCTTCAAGTGCAGAACTTAATGAAAACAGCACGAGCCTCCGGGAAGCTTCAAAAACATCTGAGAAGATAAGAGAACCGCAGTGCAGTTCAATTAACGTAACTTGAAATTCAGAAAATTTCCAAACAAATCAAAAAACTTGTCAGATCTTCAGAGAATTCCTGAGAAGTTTTTACACGTTTAGGCACTTTCATTATTTTTTTTTAATAATCAGAGTATCAGATAATATGATACTGCTGGAACTTTCAAGAATTTCCGAGCAATTATAGACAATTCGAAAAATCTCAGCAATATTTAAATGATTTCAGGAACATTGCGGGGTTTGGCGAGAAATTTCATCAATATCAGGAAAAATTTTGGAACTTCTGAGATCTTCTTGATAACTTTTGGTGCATTGTCATGGAGGAACGAAATCAGGGAAGTTCAGAGATTTAAAGGGATGTTCCATGACCATAAGTTTTGAAAACTTTAGCAAAATTTAGGAACTTCTGGGTATATCAATGAACTTCAGGAAAATTTGCGGGAACTTTTAAAATGTTCTGAGGAATTCAGGACAGTCTTGAGAAATTTGTTGGAGTTTGCAGTGCCAATAAATTCAGGGATGCGTCGAAAACTTCTTAAAAGACAAGAATTTTAAATATATTTAACCATTATTAATTTTGTTTGGGTTTCGATTCAGGGGTTGAGATCTTCATCAGGGCTAGTTTTAGAAGATTGAAAAAGTTTTTGCGCTGAACGGGAGATGGTACAACTTTATATCTCATGAAGAAGGTCAAGTCCAAAGACTGAAACGTCGAACATAAAACATCGTAGCATTATGATCCTCCATGAAACTGTAAATCCAGTACCTAGAAACGATAAGGTTTAATGAATGCATTAACTACAGGCAAATTTTACCCGTACTCTAGTTTTGTGTGTACATTAATTAATTACGAATATGAAGCATGGGTTTGAGGTAAGCTGGGCTCACATATGCAAAATCGGTGAGTAACCAGCTCTTAATCTACCATGACAGCAATGTATGCCCTTTTTTGTATTTGAAAATTTCGTAACTAGTATTCATTTTCATATGAAAGACGACGCGTTGAAATTGCTAATTATGAAGAGCTAGGAGTGTTTATTTCCTTTAAATTCCGTTATAATTGCTTACATTTTGACGGATACGCGTATTTCGTCTACTACTTACAGACTTCATCAGTGCCAAGTAATAAGTCTAGCGATTTAAGAAATGTGAGCTATTTCCTTTGATTTGCCTGTATCGCTAAGAAGAAGAGTTTGCATCCTGTGAACCATGTGGTGAAAAGCGGCCATTTTGTGTTGATGGGAATGGTTAAGTTTGCTAAATGGCTAGTAAAGGAATTTCGAAATATGCGTAAACCCTTTTCCACTCGCTCAGTTAACAGCACACAAGAATTCGCAAATCAACTTCAGGCATCAGGAGAGATTCGATGTCACAGCACTTTTTCCGAGTGTACCAGTAAAGGTAGCCATCAGCCTTTTAGAGGACTGGCTTCTGAAACAACGTGAGGATCCAACTTGGAAAAGCAGAGTTCGGTCATATCTCAAGCTTACTACTCTTTGTATGGAGGAAAATTATTTCATTTTCAGAGGAAATTTTTAAAAACAATCAAACTATGCAATCCGATTTATCCATTTTTATGTGAATTGTTCATGGCTAACCTAGAAAATACTCTGGAGGATAGGAATTGGTTGCCCAAATGTTGGTATAGGTACGTGGATGACATTTTTAGCATTGTCAAAAGGGAAGATTTATCAAAAACTTTGGAGGCCATAAGCAACGTTCACAAGGACATCAAATTTACTCATGAAGAAGAGAAAGACGGCAAACTCCCCTTCTTAGATCTTCTCATCATCAGGGAAACGTCTTCGTTCAATTTCCAAATCTATAGGAAACCAACAAACACAAAGAGAATAATACCAATCACTTCAAACCATTCCCATCAACACAAAATGGCCGCTTTTCACCACATGGTACACAGGATACAAACTCTTCCTCTTAGCGATACAGGCAAATCAAAGGAAATAGTTCACATTTTTTAAATCGCTAGACTTAAGGGTATCAAGATAAAACAATTCAAGCAGTAATCGATAAAAGAACAAGGGATAAATTTAGGCGTACTTTGACAACTCTTACACCAGTAACTGAGGGTTTAAAACAAGTAGCGGTGAATTTCGACAAAAACATTACCAAACCATTGATTTCGAAGTTTAGAAGTTTTGGCTTAGATTTAGTATTCAGCAGCAGGACAAATCAGCTGAAGTCACTGTTAGGATCAACAAAAGATTCAATAAATGTCTTAGGGAAAGCCGGAGTCTACAAAATCTATTGTCCAGATTGCAATAAAATCTACATTGGTCAGACGAAAAGGACTTTGGAAACAAGGTTTAAGGAACACACCAAAGAAGTAAAAAAGGCTAACAAAGAGATGGATAACGGATTTAAATGTGAATTTAAATCCAAGATGGCAGAACATATCGTTACAAAGGGGCACAATTTGACAAAGGATAATATTAATATCCTGTGAAGTGTATCTTCGCCTTGGAAACTAGACGTAGCAGAAAGATTAGAAATATTTAAACATAATCCATCAACAACGGATACTCGAGACTCTTTAGCATGCTACCTAAAACCACACATCGTAGCATACCTCTACCTGTTCGAGACTGAATTTAGGTACCTGGTTAGGTAAATTGTGACATGGCAGTGGATACCTGCTGATTTTTAGTACCTATTGATTAGTATATAACTCGTAGAGAAACAATAGAAGATTTGACGCTATCTGCGTTGTTTGATTTTTTCTCCCGGTCAAGAAATTTGTGGCATCGCGAGCGATCAATTTAATTTCAGTTTATTTACGCGGTGATGATGTTGGTTCACTCGCAACTATTTTTGAAAAAAATGAGTGTTTTCGAACGAAAGTGTACCAAAAGTGCTTCTGAACGTGTTTCGTAGTTGGGTGTGGTGAAATTCGTGCATTCCTGGTTGATTTTGGAAATCCGTATCACAAAATTGCCCACCGATTCCTTTTTTTTTTACCGTTCGACGACGACGGATGTGCTTTCGCGAGAGTGACGTTTATTTGATCCGTTAATTTGCACAGGTGTGTTTTTTTGTAACTAGCGTAAGTGTGCCTGCGATTTGCATTGAGTGTCGGAGATTGTAAGTAATCTGAAGGATGCCTCGCTGGATACGCCCAAGACTGGACGGGCTGGTGGCCGTGAACGGTTCCTGGGGAAAGCACTAGATGCGACCCTCCTCCCAGATGCCCATGGCAATACAGGAAGTATTGGTATTGGAAGGTAATTGCTATTGAATATTTTGCAAACAGTGACAGATAGCGGACATGAAGAACCAGTGGAGGTGCCGGGCAAAGGTGTTTATCCTAGACAAATGGTAAGTTACGAATTCGCTGTTGTCGTTGTCGTAGGCGCCGTCGTAGTCGCTGTCGTAGTCGTAGGCAGTACCGTTAGTATATTTAAAATTAACCACCAACCGCTGAAAATATGAATTATCGCGTATTTCTGTTGTTCATTACATGCCAAGTAAAATTCGAGAACGTAATTTCATTTGAAGCTATTCTCTTAAACTTAAAGCTATTCAGGTCTTAAACAATCGTCACGTCGGTCATAGCATGTTATGATTGCCTGAACCATGCGTAAAGAGAAAATCGAAACATTTAATGTCACGTGAAAATGGATCTTAATGAAGGCCTCTTTCATAGCTTTTAGTTTAAGGATTCCAAAGATCGTCGGTTGCAGTGGCTTGCTTACTGAGCAGAAAAACGCAGTCCCAGATCCTTTCATATTAAAAAAGTATGGTTAGATCGCTTGTTTATCGTGTATTTCGTAAAACTTTTCGTTGTCGTCGGTGCCGGGTCTGAATAGTCATAAAAAACTTGAGTAACGGTATAATGTGATATGAGGGGCTCGATGGCCTTAGAGCAACCGGTTTTGCTTACTGAGCAGAACATCATGAGTCTAATCTCAAGCCCATCGACATTCAAGATTCGTCAATGGTTTCATTTGTTAACATGACTACATGGTAATAACAGCAACTCGATGATAAAAAAGGAGCTCGTCTGCCTAGTGGCAAACGTTTTTTGCTTACTGAGCAGAAGACCGTGGGTTTAATCCCAAGCTCCTTCGCATTATATGATTTTTAGGACATCAATTCAGCCTATCGTTCCCTGCTGCAAACCCAACCCTATTACCCAATATCCCAGTGATTCCTCGTGGAAGTGCAGAGGTGTTCTCGGCGAGTGTCACGTCAACACATTCCTACCCCTTTCATTCTTGACCTATGCTCGGGCGCGGCCAGCGCTGGTATTGCCTAGTTTGAGATCACCAGGTTTTACACATTGAGGATGATTGCTAGTCCCAAGCATCGTCTATTGGTTCTCTGTGTAATTACAGCTGGTTTGGTAATAACAGAGTAGCAACCGTGGGCGGTCAATCATGCTCATGCTTATGCTCATGCTCATGCTCATGCCTATTGATTAGTATATAACTCGTAGATAAAAGATGGATTCTTCAGTGGTGTTGAGTACTTGGCACTGATGAAGTCTGCAAGTAGTAGACGAAATACGCGTATCTGTCAAAAGATAAGCAATTATAACGGAATTTAAAGGAAATAACCCACTCAAAGCTCTTCATAAAGGGATTCCGTTAAGAGGTTCGACAAAATTAAAGGATACATAATTAGGATAATAGGATATTCAGAAAACTTAATGCTTAAATAATTTCTTTGTTATAGTAGCTTGAACATTTTTAGGTTATTTGTGACTTGTATTGTGATTGTGATTGTGATTGTGTAGTATAGAAGGGAGTCAAAGGCCAGGTCTTCGATACTTTTATGCACCGTACATGCTATACCAGTAGGCAAGGGGTGGCATCACAGCATCTTTACTAGCAGGTTAAATAAGTTTTGTGTAATCCACGAATGTGAAATAGAGCGAGCCATAGTAACATCACTGGTAGGGTAACGTATCGGCAACACCCCATCTCAACATTAATGTATTAGCTACCATAAGGGAAGATGCAAGGGAGGAGGTGTCGATGTATAGATAGCTGTAGCTTAAGGTGGTTAATTCGAGTATAAGTAAAATATAGGTGAAATTAGTAAGAAATTACCTGATTGTTTATGATTCCTGACTTTACCGTGATGTTGTTGTTGGCGCTCTTGATGACGCTGCCCTCTATAGGTCTGATGATGAGTCCGATGGAAATCCCAGCATAGCGTTCATTTCCTCATCAGGGAATCCCTCGAACTTCGTTGGGTAAAGGTCATCGCTACTATTATCGTCTGATACTGTTCCATCGCTCGCTTCGTACACAGATTCAACCATTGTAGTGGCGTTGTAGGTGGCGTTTTGAAATTGGTTTCTGTTATTTGCCAGCTCTTTCCAGAAATTCAAGGAATGGTCCGTTCTCTTGATATCCTGTTTCACGCTAGTTTTCCAGGTGTAATACGGCGACCAACTTTTTTCTTCCCTGTGATTTATGATCGTTGTCTTCTTCAAAACTTCATCGTCTTGATCTAAAGAAAAGAAAATCGCCACTCGATCAAGCCAAATTCAAAGGTAGTACCTGTGTGATGTTGCATTCCAGCAGTGTTGAACCAAATGAATAATAATAATATTTTTTTTTTGCAGCCATTAGAGTAAATTGTTTTGAAAAAAAAATCATTGTTTACTCAACGTAATTCTATGATTTTGTGTTGCTAGGAGTGCATCTTTCAAAATGTAAAGATACATACAAGCCCTGGGATCTGGATGCAGTTAAGCAATTCTCAAGGTTATGCCAATGCCCAGGTCAGGGCTGGCAAATGTCATTTTCAATGAAAGATCTCACGCGATATTTGCAGAGATACTTCTGTCACTATCTCTGGATGAGAAAACGATGATAGAGATTTTCTTCAAAATCTCATCGAATTTTTCGTCATGACAGAACATGACAGTGTTGTGATCATCGTAGTTACTAGCTCATTTAAGGCTATTAAAGTTACTTGTACCGATGAAATCTTGATAATATACTCACTCTACCGATTACACACGGTTGTTTACTTAAATTCATCTAAATCAGTTAGAAATGTTGATGTCAAAACCGCATAAAAATTATTCCCATGAGTGCTTGATCATTGAAAAATGACAAGAAAGCTAACGATAGGTAGTTTCGTCCCGTGATAGTGAGAAGACCTGTTATTGGTATTTGGTCTTTTATGACGTCCGTGATATTCACCTGCTCTGCCCAGGGCAGGTTATTTGTGCTTTAGTTCGTTCGACACTTGAGTATTTTACTGTGGTGTGGGCGTCTTCCCAACTAACATTTTCAGCTTTATAAGCCAACTTTTGCAGCGTTGTGCTGTAAAGTAGCTGAAAAACCTGCAGATACTGTACTTTACTTAACTTTTTCATAACCATTATTCAATTTATCAGTCGTAGATAGATAGATAGATAGAAGTATCCTAGTGTTCCTTCGAGTTAATGGGATTTTACTGTCATGTTTTAATGAAATTTATTTCCATTTGTATATTGACAGTGAACTGCAAAAGAGAAACCTCCCAGCGATGAATTTACGGATCATAAGAGAGTATGACCGAACCATTCAAACTATCGCTCAACAGTTCATCGAGCAACCCACTTCCGTTCAAAAGCAATACCTTCGAGCTGCCGTGCTGTCGCAGTCCAAGCAAACCGCAATGGTCCCGTGCTCCGATCCATTCCTGGTGCTGTTGGATCTACACTGGAAGCAAACAAAGGCAATCAATCGTCGCCGGTTTGAAATCAGCTCTCGACGAGGGGAGAACATCGACATAGGGCCCTTTGCTGTCAACATCGAACGAGCAGAATCCGGTGAAGAATCTGACCCCACTCGCCTTCGTTTGATAACGTTGAGAAACTGCACCAAAGAAGCTCGCATCATGTGGAAACGTATGAGTGGTGCTCAGAAGCTTCCGTTCTTCGTGCAGGCCTATTTTGCAACGCACCTTCCCGCGAGCTTGGACCGAGCGTTATAATTATGATCATCTTCATTAGCTTGGGGTGCGGCTTTGCTTTAATGATCTTTTGCTTTTTCTCTCGCGCGCGGTCTCTGTCCAATAATGAGTAATTATATTTTATTTCTGTATTTGAAGGTTGCATAAACGCATGGTCCAATGGCACACATTTCGACTGACTGACTGACTGACAAGCTCGCGGAGCATCAGAAGTCGAGGCTATTATGGCGTGGTAACATCAAAGAAGACATATTATTAAAATGAATTGGTTCAAATTCACATGAATAATCCATAAATTTGTATTGTAGAAAAATATGAAAAATCTGTTTAAATCATAGTTGAGCAATATCAAATTGAATTTCACAATTGCCAGAATAAAGAAAAGCGTTAGCGTTACTGGTAGATGTTGCAGCCTAAGTGGTTTATCACGTGATCCTTATCAGCAGTCACAAGAGGTTGTTATGTGGGGTTTATTAATGTAGTACATTCTACAGTCGGATATTTACGCAGTGTATCAACATTCTATCCAAACATAAAAAAGAGTTATGTCCTGGATTCGAACCCGTGTATTCGGCATGTGATCTACGAACGCTAACCACTGTGCCACAAGTGTGTTGGGATAAAATTCGGGCAAACACCAATTTAAAATTCATCAAGGTGTTGTGTTTCGTATTCAAGTCAGTCAGCTGGCACTGAAAACTCCAACAGTAGGCGGGACAACAACTCACTTTAATATATCTCAGATGACGTAGCGGTTCGAGCTGGGGCTCTCACGCAGAGAAGGACTGGGTTTAATTCTTGAGACAGCTCCAATTCTATTACTTATGCTGATAAATCAATTCACATTAATATCTAACTTTAAAATAAACTTTCATAAAAGTGCGAACTAAATATAAAATTGGTGTAGAGGACAAAAACCTTTTTTAAATTTATTTTCTAAAAGTTTCGTTCAAGTTCCGCCAGAAGCTACTTAGATTGCTCTTCAATTATGATACCGGAACTTTCAAGTTCTTGTAACGATTTAAAAATGAGGCTGAGGGTAAAATCCTATAGACCACCTTCAACCAACCTGCTTAAGCCACAAATAGCCTTTTATCAGAACTTTTGGTTACTTGGGTTTTGAAGGGTATATTTTCAAGGCACTTGAATATTGATTTGCTGCACACCAGTGGACATTAATTTGAGGACATTGGTCCTCCATATTTTAAGAACTATAGGAATTCTAAATAATCATGTTTATCTCCTAATTATGGCGATTTGCGGGGTGTTTGGTGGATCGAAATGTTTGATCCAGTTTATATGCATAATTAAGCACAAAATCTTGGCGATGGCGGTGGTGTAGTGGTAAGCGTGATTACCTCTCACCCCAGCAGGCTTGGGTTCAATCCCAGTCGGTGCCGCCGGGATGTTCTGAGGCATAAAATAACTGATCACGCCTTCCTTCGGAAGGGAAGTAAAGCCGTTGAGCTGATGGGTCGATAGGTAGGGTCCAGGTGTGGAAGCTGCCTTTCTGGCGTCGGTAGCATTGGTTGTCAGCACAGAAATCAAGATCAAAACCAAATAAAAAAACATTAAATCGTGATTTGAGGGGTGTTTGGGGGTTCGAAATCTTGAATCGAGATTTTTCCTTAATATGTCTGTTGGGCCTAAACCACGGTTTGACGGGTGTTTGGGAAGAAGTTATTAATCGCGTGTATCTTCTTTATTAAAGCCAACATTGCGATTTGTGGGGCGTTTGGGAGTTCGTAATCGCTTTTATCTCCTTAATTAGGGCTTAAACTGCGATTTGAGGGGGTGTTTAGGGTTAGAAATGTGTAATAACGTTTATTTCCTTATTTAAGGCCGATATCCTGATTTAAGTGATGATTGGGGGCTATTAATCATTAATCGCGTTTGTTTCCTTAATTATGGTCACTTTTTTTTACAACTTTAAGTCATAATTTGCTCCCTTATTTCTTCAACATGGTCACTAAACTCCCTATTTTTGACAGCATTGACCGCTACCAGCTCTATTATTGTGTGTTTTGCGAAGCTTGCTGTCGTCGTCGTCGGTGCCAGGTTTAAATGGTACCAACACAACTCGACCATAGATGGTATGATGTGAGGGTCTTGGTGGCCTTTCGATAATCGATAATCGCATAATTTGTTAAGATGGTGAAAACAGCAACTCGATCACAAGTAGTGTGTTGTAAAATAAGAAGCTCGTTTGCCTAGTAACAAACGTTTTTGCTTAATGAGCAGAAGACCGTTGTTTATAGGATCGTTAGGACATCAATACGGCTTATCATTTACCAAAACGAATCTTGCTGCAAACTCAACCGCTTTTTCCTACATCCCAGTGATTCCTTGTGGAAGTGCAGAGGATTTCTCGGTTTCTATCAAAGCCAGTATCACGTCAGCACATTTCTACCCATTCCTTTCTTGACCTGCATTCGAAAGTGGCCGTCGCTGGTATTGCCTATTGCAAAGTATGAGATCATCAGTTCCTACACATTGAAGAAGAACATAGGCGTACACAGACATCTTCATTAGTAGGAGTCAACCAACCAGTTCAGAGGCGTCTCATATCTTAGGCTTTATTAAGGGGCGTATTGATTTGGCAGATAATGGGTTGCGCGCAACGTTAATAAAACCCTGGTCAACACAGCTTTGCTTTTATTGCATCCACCAAAACAGGCTATAATCTGTCTAGTTGGCTCACCCTGAACAAAGTTTTGAAGGGTATATTTTCAAGGAACTTGAATATTGATTTGCTACACACTAGTGGACATTAATTTGAGAACATTAGTTCTCCCAATTTAAAAAGTCAAAGGAATTCTAAATCATTGTATTTATCTCATAATTATGGCCTAAATCGCGATTTGCGGGGTATTCGGGGGATCGAAATCTTTGAACGGGTCTATATCCACAGTTAAGCTCAAAATCGTGATTTGAGGGGTGTTTGGGGGTTAGAAATCTTGAATCACGTTTTTCTTCTTAATTAGGGCTGTTTGTTCTCAACCAGTTTTCCAATCTATTTTAAAGATTCGCGCCGAACCCACCATTCTGGTACTAAAAATGAGTGCTATACAAATGTAGTAGTACTGGAAATAAGTAGAATAAAAATTAATTACGTTAGTAGTAGTAGCAAATTAGGTTAAGAGTAAATTGAATTATTAGTAATAAATGATTCCAAAATGAGCTATCCAAAAAACCAGACCTAGAGTGTATTCCAATTTATTAAATCTATATAGGGGAATTTACGTATTCTCGGCAACCTAAGCAGCGACCTTCTTTCTACAGCCTTTGTCTCTAAGGAACGCACACATAAGCAGTATTGGTTTGTTTACAATCTTTTGCTGCCAGCTGCTCTAACAATTTCAGTAGAAAGAATTGTCAAAAACTGTTTTGAAACGCTTTTACAAAGCTCCAATCTTCTCTAGTGAGAGCGAGTATTGTCGGCAACCAGTTTTTCTTCGGCAACCGTTCCATTTGAACTGCATGTAAATCTGCTGTTCTATTATCGGCAACTCGAAATCAGCTACAATTTGTAGTGCGTGTGTTTCATTTCAAGAAAACTCTGCTAGATTGCTTTTTCTCGGTGGTAAAAATATAGTCAAATTGAAGCTGAAAGCATAAAGAATCGTTTGCATGCATTCAGCGAAGTGTTTTCGTAAGAAAATCCAGTGAAAATAATGTTTCAATTTGAGTTGCCGAAAATAGTCTGTCATGCCGAAGCCGTCATTTCCCCTATATAAAAATGAATTTCTGTCTGCCTGTCTGTCTGTCTGTCTGACCCTTATAGACTCGGAAACTACTGAACCGATTGGCGTGAAAATTTGTATACAGGGATTTTTGGGGCCGTTGAAGGTTCTTATGATGGTTCGAGACCCCTCCCCCTTCTGTAAGGGGGGGCTCCCATACAAATGAAACAGAAATTTCTGCATAACTCGAGAACTAATCAAGCAAATTGAACCAAATTAGGCATGTGGGGGCGAGTGTGGGGGTATAAGGAGATAATCATAGGGAGTAGCCCCTTAGATTATAGGGGGGGGGCTACGTACAATATAGCATGCTTTTTTTAAATCGGCGCATAAACTCAAACTAATATTGAATCCCGAGCAAGACCGGGCACACTCAGCTAGTAGTTAATAAATCCAAATCCAAGGTTGAAAAGTGTTTCCTTTAAAAAGAAGAAGTGACTCCTAGTGGCGGTTAGGCGCTAGCCCAAAAGTTCGGTGCAATAATCAACTGGATTGTTATCCGATGCTCACACCCCCACTCAGCATAGTTACAGTGCACATTGGATTTTCCCGCCGGTTAAATATTTAACGGAAATCACGAACCTGCTCCAACAAAGGCCTAAATCGCGATTTGACGAGTGTTTGGGGGTTTTTAATTATTTAATCTCGTGTATCTTCTTAATTAAGGTTAACATTGCAATTTGCGGGGTGTTTTGGAGTTTAAAACATTTAATCGCATTGATCTTCTTAATTATGGCTTTAAGGACGATTCGAGGAGGTGGTGGGAGGATATTCATTTTTAATCACGTTTATTTCCTTGCTCAGGACCGAAATCCCGATTTTGAGGATGTTTGGGGGTTTGAAATCATTAATCATGTTTATTTCCTTAATTATGGCCTAAATCGCGATTTGAGGGGTATTTGGGGGTTCGAATTCTTTGATCACGTTTTTCTCCTTAGTTAAGGCCTTAATGAGCGGTATTTGGGAGTTCGAAATCATTAATCGTGTTTATTTCCTTAATTATGGCCTAAACCGTGAATCGAGGAGTGTGTGGAAGTTATAAATCTTTAATCGCGTATATCTCCTTAACTAAGGTCTAAATCGCGATTTGAGGGGTGTATGGGGATTCAAAATCTATAAACGCGCATGTCTCCTTAATTTAGGCCTATACCAATTTTAGGATCTCTTTATTTATGGTCTAAATTGGAATATGATGGCTGTTTCCCCCTTAGATCGCCATTATTTCCTTAATCAGGGCTTAAATTGTGAATTGAGGGGTGATTGCGGGCTAAACATGTTTAATCGCGTTTAAAGGCTTAAATTGAAATTTGAGGAATGTTTGGGAGTTAGACATCTTTAATCGCGTTTATGCCCTTAATTGATTAGTTGTGTCTGTTTGCATCAGGTAAAAATATGACACCACATCTCGTTATCTTTAATCGTTGCGCCTTTCAGGTAAAAATATGACTCCTCAAAATCCTAATTCGTTTGCGCTTTCGCGCTGTCGTGAAAATATTAAAAA